TGTTTGCAGGCGAAGCTCCATTATCTAGATATAATCGCTAGTTTACCAAGCTACGGCGCCAAATGCTTCAGCACAAACCAAAGAGAGGGCATGGAGCGCGTTCTGCTCGTGAGTCCGCGCTTCGGTCTAAGCCAAATATCCAGCGCACGTAATTCTGTGGTAAGCAGAGACTATATATTTTAAATGGATAATTTTTACATGACATTCGCATTAACAACCAACAACAGCCACAGCCCATTTCGGCCATAGAGGACTTTACGCATGTTGTGGTGCATCGCGAGGACGACATCACTTGCAGCGTGTCGATCTATATGCTAGGCGATCGGGCTGTCAAGTTTATAATGGAGGATCGTGATGCCTGCGAATTCAGCCTGGTGCTAGGCGGCTACTACCGCCTGCTGACAGGTAATACAGTACAGTCCCTGAGGTTCGTGTTGGCTTAACACAATGGTCCACTTTTTTAGGAAATGTTCTGAACGTACTGCGGGAACGCGAACCGAACGAGGAGGACAACGCGCCCGCCTTCTTGTCGCAGCACACGGTGCTGCCGGCTAGCTGGAGCTACCTGTTGCCCTTCCACAATCGGGCGCACAGTGTGAACTTTTTGATGACGCCACCATATCACCCAATGCCACAGCAAGCGGTGCTCTCGCAGCCGCAGCCCGTGCAGCAACAGCAGCAGCAGCTAAACTATGCGACCGATCTGGACTTGCATAGCGTGATGGCCACCGAGCTGTTGGAGGAGGCGGCCAAGGACTCTGGCTTGAGCGACAGCAGCGGCAGCAACTACTGCACCGAAAGCCGGACTCAGCTGGCGGTAGAGGCGAAGAACGAGCAGGTGCTGCGCCGAGTCCAGGAGCTGCAGAAACTCGTTCAATGCTCCGAACAGTATCTCAGCGAACAGGAGCAGGAGGTGCAGCAGGTACCGATGCAGCAGCTGATGCAGCTGCAGCAGCAGCGGGAGCAGACACAGCAGCAGATAGGCCAAAGCGTGGCTATGCTGGAGTTTGACAGCGACTGCGATAGCTTGAATAGCAGCAAAGTGTCCTCTACGGAGGAGAGCAACCACGTCAGTCAGCCCTCGCTCAAGCACAGTGACTCGCTCACTCTGCTGGCCGAGACGATCAGCCATGAACTGACCGGCATAACGCAGGGTCTCAATGCCATACCGGAGCCGATCTCTGCATCCGCACCGCCCACACCTGCCACACCAAAGCGCAAGCCGAGCCTGTGCAGCACCTCCAGTCCACGGCCTCAAAGGAAGTTCAATGGCTTCAGTCAGCTGCTGAGCGATTTGCAGGCTCTGGGGACAGATTTCTCGCAGAGCGAAAGCGACTCCGAGTCGGTAGCCTCACCTGCCCAATCGCCGACGACTCGGCGGCCCCAGCAGCTGCTGCAGGCGGGCAGCAAACAGCAGCAGCAGCACCAGCAGCTGGCTCAACGCAGCAGCTTTGGTCTGCACAGTCCGGATGGAACTCACTTTGGGGCTGAGACAAAGGACTATAATCTGCGTGAATATCTGCAACAGCTCAAAGAGATCAGTAATGTGCCCGACACAGATGTCGCTGCCCGCCAGCTATCGGAGATTTATGGCTTCGAGGTGCGCGAGGATACGTTTATTGAGACGGACACAGACTTGATTGATCTACGTGCCATACCTCCACCACAGACGCCCGACGAATTGGATTCTCTGTCGCTGCTGAATGCGGCGCCACCCAAAGGATTTGAAGGCAAGGCCGAGGAGCTCGACAGCTTTCTGCAAGAGATGCTGGTAGCGCCGCCTACGCAGAAAGCAACGCCCGCCAAAGAGCTAACACCCGAGGAAATCATGTCCTTCATTATACCCCCGCCGCCAAACCTAGAGGCGCAGTCCGACCGATCCGAGGAATGCCTCTACAGCAATTCAGTGCAGGCCAAGCGAGAGTTTTTCCAGGCCGTGGCCAATGGCAACAACAGCAGCCAGCAGAATAACCACAAGGACCAGGCAGCGCATGTCATTGAGTATCCCACCGTGGAGCGGAAGAGCAAATTCAGCTGCTGTCCCACGTCCAAAAAGGAAGAGGCAGCACCACTCGAGGAAGCAGCACCACTGCAGCCGCCCCCGCGCACTCCAACCATAGAGCACACGACTCCGCCGCCGGCGCGTCCCCCCAAAAGCGCGGAGCTGCTGCAGAGATACTCTCCCAAGAAGCAGGTGCGACCCGTCGGTCATCAGCCTGTGGTAAGTGTGCCACTGCGTGAGCTGTGCCCGCCACAGCTGCCCCCACGCAGCAGCCCCACAGCCAGCTCGGAGCCAGCCACGCCGCAGACAGCAACTCCGGCAACATCGGCGGTGAGTGCGCCCAAGAAACCCCCGCTGCCACCCATTGCCAATCGCCCACGCCCCGCCAATGGCACGCCCACGCCCGCCAGCAACACGTCTCCGCCTATACCGGCCACCGCCCGCTTACCCAACGCGCATTCCAATGGTGGCCAGCCCGCGCTGCCGAAGAAGCCTCAGCAGCTGCACGGTGAAAAGCTATTCATCAAGAATGGACACCTGATCGACGGCGAGGCGCTGCTGGCCAAAACGGATGTGGCCATGGCTGGGCTGCTGATCAAACTAGACCAGGTGGCCGCCCAATGCTCGGCCGCCCAGTCGGCTGGCGGCGGCACCAGCATCGATGAGGATAAGTTCCAGCGCGCACGCAATGAGCTAACGGAGCAGACTCTGGCTTTAGTCACAGCCAGCAAATTTCTGGTAGCCTCCATGTCCGATATGACGCTGGTAAACCTTCCCGATCACCTCACCTCCTGCCTGACGGCCATCCGGCGCATCACAGAGTTGGCTCAGGACATGACCCGCCACACCTCGGCTCCGCTGCAGACGCGCAACATCGTACTCAAGGTTCACGATGTGGCGAGCAGTTTCCGTGAACTGGTTGGCGTGCAGATAGGACCCATCGGAGCGGGCCAGCTGGCCCTGCAGGCAGAGTGTCTGGCCAATGTGCTGGCCACCCTGTTGCGTAGTCTACGCGTCTTCTCGCCCTAGAAGCCAATCTGACCCCATCCTATCCAAAAGCATGAGCATGAACAGGAACAGGAACCTTGAAGCGAACGCGACCCGATCCTAGAACGTGATCCGAATCTACGCCCACGACCACGACATGGTCATATCGCCCGCCCGTATATCTACTCAAATATCAAACTAATTCTAATACTAATTAGCTAAATACCCTATATAAAATATACCCTACTTATACAATCTCTGAAACTATTTTACAGGTAAAAGGCAACGTCAGAGAGTCGTTGGTCTGAATTTAGGCTAACTAATGATAGTGCAAACTCGAACATAACCAAATCTATGAATACATACATACATACATATATCGTGTTCAGATACATATATTATACATACATACATATATACGAGTAGAACCAAAGTCAACTATATAGCAACATTATGTTTTCTTCACTCAGTCTATACTTAAAAGGTGTCATATTTTATGTCGTAATTTAGCGTCTGATAATAATGTATATAAGTTTCATAAGAGTTGAATCTCTAAGTGATTCTATGAAATTCCCAATTTTCAGTTCTGTTTTCATTTTGAAAAGGAGTAACGTCTGTCAACGTCTGAACACGATTTTCCATATAATAATAAAAAAAAAAACTTCTATGCAACCATCAATTTAACAGCATGCAACTATCTCGAATTTGAACTTCTGTGTAACCTCTTTAATATTAAATCTAATACTAAAATACAATAACAATAATTTCTAAAATATAAATAAATCGTTCAGCTTTTTACTATGTATCTAATTGTTAACGGTAAACCAATCGAAGCAACTTCATGACTTGAGTGTAGACCAATTTATATATATATACATTATATGTATTTGTAACTAAATATCTAAAAAGAACAAAAACCAAAAACAAATATTATTATTAACAAGTGTTTGAAGAATGTTTTTTTTTTTTTTAAATTACGGCATTAGTATATTTTCTTATGTACATATATGTATATATGTAATTCATATATACAATTTACATACATTTCATATGCATACTAAATACATATGTACGTATACATAAATACATATATGTATATTAAACAAAACAAAAAGAAAATTGACCAAACAAGAATCAAAATTTTAACTTGTGATATAAAAAATGAATTAGTGGAAACCCAATGATTTATAATTGTTTAAATATTGTTTTGCAATACTAGTTTGTTATTGCTCCATCATGATTTATTGTTATTGTCACTTTTGATGTAGAGACTTTTATTGAAGTACAAGAATGTGCACTAAGTTGTAGCTGTAACTAATTTGTAATCGTCTATTGTCTATTATTGCAACAATAATAATATTTCATCAATCAAAGGAGAATATAAAACACATTTCGTAGTGCTAACCAAGCTAAATGGTGTTTCCTTTCAATTTTGTTTTCAATTCTGGTAAACAGATAATAAACATAACCATTTGCATAAGTAATACGTACACATATACAAATATAATTACAAGTAAAAATACATATTAAGTATACAAATTAAAAAGCAAAATGTACAATGTAAACCATATAACTGTTTATGTATATCATTAAAAAATTAAAACATTAAAAACTAATTCAATAAATATACCAAAGACACGATTTTCAATTAACCAAATCGCAAATCTTCAAATATTGCTATAAAACAGTCTTCGAAAATGCCGCAAACTGCGCGGTCGCCAATTACACTTTTCTGTAAACTTGATACATTTAACCACTGTTATTATTGTTTTCAGATTTCAAGTGCTGCCCAGTGCGAATAGTGGCTGATGAGTAAGTATCGATAGGCAATCGATCATCCCTAAGGCTAACATACTAGACTGTTTGTCTGCAGTGCGAACTTTCGCGCGGATTTCATTACCTTCAGTACTTGAGTAAAACTCGCAGACTAGACAGCTTGACGCTCGCGGGTTTTTCTTCAGCTGCTACTGAGACTAATTTTTTGGCGCTAAGTTATTAAACCTTCTTAGAAATGAATGAAAATACAATCGACGCTGAAGATCAGCAACTAATCTATAACTTGCAAAAGCTAAACTCGGAATTGTGCTTCTTGATTGACGACCAACAACCTCTGCAGATTGCAAGTTGCAGCAAGGGCGGAGCTGTAGGCAGCGCTTTGCAAGAATTTAATCCCAGAGTGCACGAATTAGCTTTCGATTCGAGTGCTCCACTGTTTGAGTTTCATAGATTTGGTTGCATTGAATCGCGGCTCATGGGAAGGCGTCAGATCCTATCCAGCAACACTGAACACCATAAGAAGCCTAAATCGAATGCGATCCAATATGCAAGCCTACTGCAAAAAGAGAACATATCCATGGAGCTTACTATGGACCAGATCAAGTTGATTGAGCTCTTTGGCAACTGGTGAGTGCGTTAAAGTCATGTCGATAACAATTTTATATATTAAATTCAATTATACAGCCGCGAGCGGAATATTGTGTTGCGGCTGATGAACTTGTTCAAGTCGCTGCATGACCATCTCAATGCAGACTTTCCCAGTGATCAGTTGAACTCGGTACCATCCGATTATGTTTTCGAGTTGCCCAGCAAGCACACTAAGCCCAAAAGTTTGAATCTACGCCATCAAGTGCATGTGGTCTGCACTAAGTTGGACCGCTTCATCGGACGGCTGCGTCGCATACTGGAGTCCAATCGTCACTTCGATTACACCAAATACGTTGAATGCGATCAGCTAATCAATGGAACAGCGCAGAGCCTCCGAATTCTTAAGCAATTCACAAATTTGGAAATGCGTCAACGCAATTTGTATCTTATCGGTCGCTTGGCGAACGGTAAGCTTTTATTAAAACTAAATATTAGATTCTAAATTCAATTGAGCCAATTCAATTCATCCTCAGAGAATGCTGCTCAGATGGAAATAGTGATGGGGGATCTGCAGGAGCGTTTGAAGTCCGCTCACATTCACGTCTATGTCTTCAACTGGGAAATGGATCTAGAGCATCGTTATTCAGCAACAATGACAGCAAGTCTTGAGGAGATGAATAAGAATGCTTTGGCATTGGCGGCCGCAGAATCCCATGTGGATCAGTCCCGTCAATTTAATTTCGAAGAACAGCTCCTCGCCGCGCAATATCAGCTGCGCAGCGTGGTCAGCTGCGCCAAGGAGCACGAGGACTTTTTAACAGCACTGCTCAAATCACCCGAGAACTATTTCCCGCCCGAGATCATTGATTTGTGCCAACCACCCAAGATCCTGAATAATATTTACTTGCCACCTTTGCCACCTGTATTTATCGATGAGCTTGCAGACGGCATAGAGAACATGGTCTTTGGCGTCGACATTCTCGGTTTGGCACCATCATCACCGCCCAGAGTCAATCATCGCTCCCATGTACCCAAGTGTAATCGGGCTTAGAGATTCGAGCGAGACAGAAATTGCTACATTGATTAAGCAAGTCACATAGAAAGACTACAAATTTACCGAGAATTAAAAAACGGAACTAACCACATCATATATTATAATCAACACTGAATATTAAATAATTCAGGAGAAAGTATTTTTAGTTTTAATTAAAATTGAATTTTGAAATACTACTTTTAATTTTGAAGTGACTTCACAGAAGCTGTAAAATTTATGAAATAAAATGTTTAATACTAATCATTTATCTATAAAGTTTAAGGAATGTTCTTGCACTTAATGAAAATGTGTAAAATAAAATGTAAAAAAAATTGTTTAATCTGAAAACCACTTTTAAATAAATTGCGTGTTGATAATTCCATTAACTATAATACATCAACACGCAAGTATATAATCACTTAAAGGCCAGAGAATAGCTGTTCCAGTGGGTATTTGGATAGGGCTTTGTTTAAAACCGATTTGAAGATCAGACCCATAGCACCAAATATATCAGGCTGCAGTTCACCGAAGACCTCGCGCCAGTTTTCGTTGATCAAGACATGAAGGTTATCGCTGAGATCCTTCTGGCCATTGAAAAGGTTATTCAGCTTGTAGGTAGCACGAGATGGCTCCAATTTGATCTTAACCTCGATCGCCTTTGCATAGGTTTGCTGCGGACCCTTGGACACTGGTACGAACTTCGCAATGGCGCTGACCTTGACATTATCTATAAATCACATAAACACCAAATGTATTACAACTTATGAGCTCATACAAACCAAGGCTTATCTCCGCATCGCCCTTTCCAACAATGGGCAGTATCAAAACTTTGCCATCTATGCTATAAGGACCCTTGAGTGTTAATTTGGGGGAAAACATTTCGAAAGCAATCGGGCGACGTAAATCGCGCGTGAAAATGCTGCCGGGACGAATGTGATTGACAGTATGAAATGTGATGCGTTCATATTAGATGTATATATGTATATACTATTTACTAGTTACTTACGAAGTTCGCTTTACTTGCGAGCCACGGAGACCGACCAATTCCGCATTCGTGAAGGTCATATCGATACTAACTGGACTGTTGGGGTTTTTGGCAAGACTGAACTTCTTGATATGCAACGGATCCAACTTAACCAATCCCAACTCTTTGATGCCTGTGGTAGCAAAATTATTGATCACATAATTCATACCATCCAACAAGCACTTTTCATCCGCAATGTCACATTTCGTAATATTCCCAGCTGCAAGACGTCTTAGCTTTTATTTGATTCTTATCGAGTATTTCTATATTTAATACTTACGTAAATCAGAGCTCGAGCCACAGGAGTACATATTCAAGCAACTGATTATCAATAATGTAATTAAAAATATATCCATTGTGCAGTGATTTTTCTAAAATGCTGGCTGGTCTGACTTCGAAAAGTAACTGTGGGAGCTGCTTCTAGGTGTTCCCTTTTATAGGGCATATCTGTCGCGAGCAAGCTATTAAAAATACATATTTTATTATAATACTGCTGTATTTCAATTTTACCTGAGCTTTCTGCTCCCTAGTTGTTGAATTACTCGTTCGACCCGTAAAGTCATCGAGATATCGTTCGTCTGCTTAGCAACTTTTGTACACACTTCTTTCAAATATCCGACACTTCAGAATGGGAGGCATTTTTTAGTCTTTAACATTTCAACTATTTATACTCATTCACGAAAGTGAAAGTGAAGCTATAAAAATTTGGAACACATACTCGTGTATATCTCCGCCCACTTCAGAAAGTGCATTTTCCGATATGCCAGAAATCATATTAGTTGAAAAGCTAGAAAGCTGAATTTTGAAAAGTAGATCCCCATCGACCACTCAAGATCACAAGCTATGGCGGATATATCTACGCCCATTAGGGGCGTGGGAAATCTGACAAAGCTGTATCTCCTATAGTTTTCAAGCTAGAACCTTAAAATGCATATAAGCAAATAATTTGATTCTATGAAGATCAATGAAAAAATTATATGTCTATAATGGTTATGATGTTAATCAAAGTCTCAAACATACTTTGTTTCAATCTATTACACCTATTTGCAATAAAAATTTTGCTTTTTTATAGCTCAAATGCATTTTATATGCCAATTATAATTATACACTAAAAATATTTCATATAATTTTTAATTGGTATCTAGGGTCATCATTAATAAAGTATTTATGGAATAATGTGAAGTGGATTTACTATTCGGTGAACACTCTAATCTCTTGTCAACGCACTGGTTCATATGCCCGGCACCCTTGACCTTCCTAAAACGTTCTTAATTGACTGCAACTGATAAACCTATATAATTGTCGTAATCAGCTACCTGATTTCAGGATCTGATGTGTACATTGCACTACAATGCTTTGGAATAAATCAACTAATTAGTAGAGAAATCGCTGTATTATATGGTCGCGCCATTTACAAGCAGTAAATATGCGACAATATCGACCGACGACATTAAGTCTATTAAATCAATTTACGCCAAGCTGGTATACATCAACTGGTTTTTTATCCGGAAAAGCAAATATCAATATTTCATATTTTAAATAGAACTAATTAACTGGTTTTTGCATATTTGTCTCACTTGTTTCTCTCTCACTCATTTGTTTAATTCCCTACTGCCGCTGATTGGTTAGAATATCATATATCTTTCAATTTATTCAGATCTTCTGCTTCTTCCGTTACACATATTTTTATACCCTGAACCCATTGAAAATGGGAAATCAGGGTATAATGTTTTT